TTAGGCATTCCAAAGAGTCCCTGGCCTCTTCTAAATAGTGACTTAATCTCCATGGTCCCCCTTCCTTTTCTCTTAACCATTTTATTGTATTTGCTGAATCACCTGCAATGGTTATATTTTGAAATCCCAAACTTTTTATTATTCTGATTCCTGTGAGGACAGCCATAAATTCAGCCTTTGAGGAATCTGCCACGCCTATAGGACCGCTGAAAGTCCAAACGATGTTGCCCCGTTCGTCCTGCCTCCAACTTCTCTTTTAAACTGATGCAGAGATATCTGCACATATGTTCCATGCCATGTAGGGCACTTCAATATTTAGTGTAAATCCCACACCCAATGCCTTGTCCAGTTGTGCCCATGTCATATCTGTTAATCGTAGTTTTTAAAGGCTTCAATAGGAATGATAGATGAAAATATGTTTACATTATTCCATAAGTATGAATGTGGTTTTAATTACAATATTCATGCTGTCTTAGTATCATTTATCTTAAAACCTTTTTGGTTTTGATGTTGCACAACTGGATCAGTTCACAAGATCTCTGGCTGATTGTAGCGGACACCACTATCACCAGGGTTAGGGGGTCATGGGTAGGGGGATGGGCTACCCCTGTTGCATAGCTCCATGAACCAAAAAGCAGAAAAAAATGGTTTCAAAACATCTCCATAGTTACAATTTCATATCTACCTAACTCTCATTGTGTTATGTGTCAAATATATACTATGATGTCATGCTATCATTAAACAAGATACACCACAAGACCCCCTCCTATAGATGAACAGTAGGCTTGCATGAACTATTGCAAGCAAATGATGGCAAACTATTGACCACTAAAAAGGATTTTCTAACTTGAGAGTATACAATCTCATCCTTGGAAATTCTTACACCAGTTATTGCTCCATCATGCATTTAAAAAAATAATCTTACATAAATGGCCAACAGCATCTGAGGAAGAAATATTGTAAGAAATAAGATTAATAAAAAATAAAATATAACAGCTCACAATAAGGTACCCAACTTACAAATTCCATGTTAGTTTCTATGCACAAAACAATATAATATACAGAAGATCATGGAACAAGTAGTGTTTGTTTATGTGATGCTTTCTTTTCCTAATTTATTCTTCATTTCTTTTTCTAACAAATTAATAGCAAAATGGAAACACAACTAATACCATACCAAATGAAAGAATTTAGAGATGAAACAGAGAAGTATTCTAGGGTGACTAAAGTAATCATAAAAAAACAGGGAAGAAACTTTTTTCCAACAAAAATAATCATCTTTCCAATAGCCTATTATAGAAAACAGATAAAACATTTTGGTTGAGGAAAATCCATGATGGATTCATCATATTTCTTGTAGATGCTTACCCGCAAAGAAATCTTGCTAACTTTAAGATAGCTTCAAGCTCAAAGCTTAGTGGTGAGACTCTGCAAAGGAAGAATTAGAAAACAAACTATAAGGGGGTATCAACCATGAATAAAGTTAAATTAAAATTGAAGTATCTCCTCAGGAGAGGGATGCATGGCTGTTTTTTGCTTTTGTATCTTCCTCACTTTTCATTTTGTCAATCAATCCTTATTACTGATCAAAGAAAGAAGCTTTGATGTGAATTATCAAAAAAACAAAAAAAAAAAGAAGCTTTGATGTGTCCAGGTAGAGGAAACCTGCTCCCCCAAGAGAGGAGGCATATGTGTGGTTGATTTCTATGGAAAGTATCCTCACTCAAGACAAATTGAAGAAAAAAGGTCATCAGTTTCCAAGTAGATGTGTTCTTTGTAAGACGGATGAGGAAAACATTCTTCATTTGCTGGTGCAATGCAGATATGTAAGAAGCATTTGGGCCTACTTTTTCAAACTCTTTAACATTTCTGGATGGGCTCCTAATGATTATAATTATATTTTTGGCTGCTGGCCAAGGGTACATGGGAACTCCAAAGCAAAAATAATCTGTAGCTGTGTGCTGGGAGGTAATGGAAGCAAAGAAATAAGAGAATATTAGAGGATAAAATGAGAAGCAACAAAGAATTGGGGGCTGTGATCAGCTCAAGGATTGTTGGTTGGGTGTTAGTTCTGCCAGAATTTGAAGGCCTTCGTAAAGAAAATTTTGCAGCTAAGTTTTGGAGTACTTTGAATGTTTAATTCTGATGTATTTCTTTGTTGGTTCTCTCTTGTATGTGGTGGGATGACCTCTTGTCACCTAAACATTGTATTTTGCTATTTTATTGAATAAATTTTCTTCTTTATCGATCTTCAAGAAAAAAGAAAGAAAGAAGCTTTCATTCATTACTAATTAAAAATAGAGAATTAAAAATAAAATAAAATAGAAGACCACCTTTGAGCATTTTCTTGAATAGACTTTCTGTAATGAGCAATCACATTATTGTAACGACACTTCACCTCATCCTCCAGAACTGGATCCTTTTGGCTGATCCGATCTATCTGATTGCATAAGAAACACAAATAGCATAAGCTTCACAAATGTAATTGACATTTATTCAACTAAAACATGACAATGAACAGCATTTCAACTAGAAATGCTAGAACAATCTAAATTCTATAAAAAGAACTCTTAACCTAAAGACCATGTAAGGTATATTTGTATACTTGACCCAAAAGATGAGCGACCCTCAGATATACCTGTGTCATACACATTGATGTTTTTTTTTTATTATTATCAGCAATAGAGTGTCCTAAACATTGAATGATTTAATTATTCAACTGAACACCAAAAAAAGGGCATCATTCAACCAAAAATTGAATCGCTGAGCAAGTGACAATGGTAATGGTAGACTGATAGATGGGCCATCCTCAGATCTACCAATGCCATACAATTAAGTCCTACATGTAGGCAGCCAGTGAACCATTTCCAACCAGCCAACAATCAACCCAATCAGATAAAGATAGCTAGCATACTAACATAATTTAGACAGGTTACTGTATTTCTAGATTGGAATGTTACTGTCATCCTTATAAGACAGGTTTTAGCATTTGTGATCTCTTATTGGATTCACAAAACAGGCATTGCCTTGCTCTTTAATGTTCAGTAATGTACTGTGCACACATCTAGACTCTAGAGTGAAGTGGAGTCTATTTAACTTCACTTTATTCATGTCCAATATTTCTAATCTTCTACTTGAGAGGATGTGCCTACCAGCAAGGCGCATACACTACCCTCCAATGCCCCAGCATACCAGAAATAATCCCCTGTTAACCTCGCAAGTTCTATTGCTGTAGAGTAATGGGCATTGGCATCAACAGGTGATCCTGCAAGCAAGCAATAATCTCCTATTGTCTTTTGTGCACGGCCAAGCCTCCGTTTTTTGGCCTTGATAACCTGCAGTTTCAAAAGGTAGGAAGAATCAAGTTAAAACAGCTGAATCAACAGTACCTTGGGATGATATTAGATGCTCTAAAATAAAAGGTAATAAAGAAGGAGAAAGAAGGAACACGAAAACAATTGCCAAATCCTTAGGACACCTAAACATAAACCTCCTCTGAGCTAAGACTGGCTTGAGAATCTAATGGTGTCTTCAGAATAGTTCCAGTAGATTCTGCACGAAGAACCCATTTTTCGAATTCCATCAGTAATGAAGCAGCAATGTCTTGCACCATCGTTTGCAAGTGAAATTCTAGAGTTTGCAGATCCGCAGGAGGAAACAATATTAAGTTGTCTCCCCTTTTACCACCATCTTCCAGCTGTACCAGAAAATATTCATTTAACTCAGAAAATTAATGGAAGGGTGCAAACTAGTGGGGAAACTTCAATAATTGGTGTTTCTGTTTTCTAAAATTCATAGTACAGCAAAGCAACAATGTTAACAACATTCAAACCTACATGACTTGAAATCTGTACATTTAGAACAAAAAAAAATGTAAAAATAAAACACTTTGCAAAATCTACTCATTAAAAATAAGACCTTGAATATATTTACATGCTATGTAGCAATGACCCCATTTTTTGAATGAAAACACATACCACACATCAGCAGCTATTACCTACCAGTCTCAAATAACAAGTGTACCAAAAATAAAATAGAACTTATCAGTTATCACAATTTACCAAATCTTTATTTTTCTTCACTCTTTTTTTGAATAGCATAATGATTTTACTGTCAGACATGATTTATAGGCTCTCTTATAGTTGAAGTGCATCAAATTATATACTTGCCTATAATTCTACAAACCTTTTGGGCTTATTATATACTCGTCTGAAGTAACATCGCTTTCACAAAACACCTCTCAGATTCCAGAAGAAATTTAACCTACTTCAGTCCCTTTTGGGGAAAAGAGGAAATCTCTTTTGGAAAGCAGTAATTCATGCTTTGATGTGGGGAATCTGGGAAGAAAGGAACAGAAGAATATTTAAGGATAGCTTCTCCTCCTTGGGTAGTATTTGTGAGAAGATCTTATCCCAAATCTTTTCTTGGATGCTGGTCCACCAGCTCTTTGATGGGGTGAGCAGAGGGGAGTTAAAAAGAAACTGATTGCAAATCCTGTATACTTCCCCTTCCTCTCCAACTGTACCAACTCTTCCTCCCCTAAGTAAGGAGTGTGATTACCTGTTGCAGTTTGATGGCAGTTTTAGAAGGTAACTGCTTCCTCCACCAGCAGCTGGAATAGGGGGTACTACTGGAGGCATCTTGTGGGCCTTTAGTGGCCCAGTTCAAGCTGCAGATGCCTCTGAAGCAGAAGTCAGCTCCCTTCTAGAAGGCTTAAGAGTTGCTAAGAGGCTCCATTTCAGTCCATTAGCAGTAGAAGGAGACTCAAGAATTACCATTAAGTGGGCAAAAGAATAAGATGAGGGACCGTAGAGGCTAGCTCACCTCCTTGCCGAAATTCATGAGCTGTCTTCTCTGCTGAACTGCACCTTTAGATGGATTCCTCGGGAGATCAATAGAACAGCAAATGTTTTAGCAAAGCAAGGCTTGGAAGTGTTTTCTTGTATGGTGCTAACACTTTGCCATCTTAGTTTGATACAGGCTCTTCTTTTTGGGCTTTTGTGGCCTGTTTTTACATCTCTTATGTGCATCCCTCCCCCCTTCTTTTGAATATAAGTTATCTTTCTCTTCAAAAAAAATGCAAATTTGCTCCATCGCCATAACATATGCTACAACTCAGACGTGCAATTCAAGTTATGTAAATGCACCTAAGGAAGCAAATCTAAAAGGTGGTTCTTTTTTGATTGGTAAATCTAGAAATTAGCTATTACAAGCCATTTAGGATCATAACACAGTTCCATTCGTTTTAATGTTTTGAATTAAACCAAACCTGTTTTTATTCAATTTGGTTGTTCGAAATTCAGGTGATTTCATGTACTAATCAATACGTGGTTGATGCCCATTATTTGCTACAAACAATGTTAAAGCTTAAAGTTTGAAATACACCTGAGCATCGCCGGGGGAAAATGCAAAGCAGCGCTTGACGAGAGCCGAAGTGTAACTCTTGCAGGCGATGGAGAACTGAGCGGCGACGACATCGAGATCAGGTGAAGACGGACAATGGCAGAGGCCAATGACGGCGTGGATTTTACGATTGGACTGGAAATCTGCCCAGGGACTAGGAGGGGACCCACCGACCATGAACTTGAAGCGGAGGCTGCCTGTGTCCCATGGCTGGTGGGCGAATGGACTCTTCTGGTGCTCTGTGTAGAAGGAGCTGATGGCAGAAAGCTCGACCTTGCGGTGGCGCACCAGCATCGACAGGTAGTCCCTCAGCTGCGCTTGTGGAACCGGTCCGATCGGCAGCACCGCTATTCTGATCATACATCCGCTCTCGATGCTCACGTCCGGCTCCATCGTCGCCGCCGTTGATCGGGAAAATGTTGGTGATGGGTGGTGGGGAGGTCGGGTTGGATTGTGAGCCTCAGTCGCGATTCATTGGAATGTCTAATGGATGTGAGGGGATCGAAGAAAGAAAGGAGAGCGAGTAGAGCAGATCGAAGAAAGGTTGCGATTCAAAGTTGTTCCGGTATCATACCTTCCCGGCATCGTAGATATTGCCGATGGGACGGTTATACTTGAGTGTCCCACCACATGAATAGATAATTGCATCCATCATACACCACACATCTGGAACATTTTCTTGCGAGTCTCTTTATTCTCGTTCCAGGAGGAGGAGGGTCCCAAACAAATGTTCAATCCACGTGGTGTAAGATGCATTTATGAATGAGTGCACGTCAACAAGGCTCGGGTTTGTTTGCGATGCAAATTTTATTTTGCACTGGTGCAAATTGGATTGACTTTTTGATGACTCGGTTTGGAAAGAGTACAAATATAAATATATAAAGTGCAAAACCTTGCATTTAATATCTATTAGTAGAGACCCGTGCTTTGAGTGAAAGTGAAATAATGGAAATACATTTTTTTCTATTTTCCATTGTGACACTATGATCTAAGATCATTTTAGGCAAATATTATAATGTTTAAATTATATAATTTATAATTTATACGAATAAATAAATGTATTTTAAATACGCTATAAACTAATTACATTTGTTTCTTGGAGATTATTGATAATTAGTACGTATTTTCAAAAAGTAATTTTAATGGTTATAGTTTTTAATTTTTGGTAATTTTTCATATTTATTAGAAATCATGTTAATCCATTGTTGGCAATTTCTTGGATAATTTTTGGTAAATATGACAAAATTATTGGTACTTTATTTTTGGTTAATTTCTGTTCATTAAATGTAATTTTCTGCTATTTACAGCTCAAATTATATTTAAATAAATATAATTACTTTTAATTACGGTTTAAAATGTAATTATATTACTTACAGTTTCAAATATTATTTAAATAATATTTAAGATAAAACTATTAATTAATGAATTAATAAAAATATTAATGTTTTTAATAAATACTGCAATTATTGAAAATACTGTAAAATATGGCTAATTATTAATATACTATAATTAATAAAAAATTATATTTAATAAATAATGTTAATTGATTAAAATACTATAATTATTAAAAATGTTACTATATTAATTAAAAATACTATTAATTAATAACTTCAGTATTTTAATAAATAATTTTAATTAATTAATAAAAATATTGTATTAATTAAAAATGCAGTTAATACTAATAATTAATAAAATGGTATAGATATGCCCTCCAATTCAAGTCAAAGATTGATGAATTACGAAAAAAGGATTGAATTTCTTCAATCAGGTGACATGGATGAGAATGCCATAGCTGAAGAAAAGTCCGGAAGAAGAAGGAATTAGAATTGCAGTATGATAGAGAGGAAATATATACCGGAAGCAACGCTCCCGGTGTGATTGGTTGAATCACGGAGACCGCAATACCCATTATTTTCATATCACTGCTTCTACAAGGAGGAAAAATAGTATCAACTGGTTAAAGGACAACAGTGACTCTTGGACTTCAGAACCTAAAGCAATCGAGGAGCATATAGTACTATACTTCTCCTCCATTCATTGCCATTTTGCTGATATGGATTCTGCTCTTCTTGAATCTGTGGTTAATACCGCTGAAAATAATTTTCTTTACTCCATCCCAAACAATATTGCTCTTCTTAAAGCTCTTGGGCCTGACGGATTACATGATTTATTTATACTAAAACAGCTGGGACATCCTTGGAGAGGATTTTTGTGATTTTATTAGGGGCTTCTTCTCTTATCTCTTCAATTAACGATACACTCTTTTGATGCTTATTCCAAAAAAGAAGAGACCAGAGCTCCCCATTGACTTCCAACCTATAGGCTTGGCCGTAAGGCTGCACCTTGGGCCGGGTTGGCTTGAATTTTGGGTTGGGGTTGGGTCATAGGTTGATGCTTGGGTTAAGGTTAGGGTTGAAATTCATGAACCCGACTTTATTTTCGGGTTGGGTTAGGGTTGATCCGTTGGGCAATCCGACCCAAACCCGAACCCAACTATATAGTATATGTCATATATAAATATATGTTTTATATATTATATATCATACATTGATTTGTTTAGATGTACGATAGTTGTATAGCCCTCACTACATACTATAATGTCTTTCTTTTAAGATAATCACTTTACTTAATACCAAATGAAAAGACTAAAACCTTAATAACATATTTTAGGTTTTTTTAATATTTTATTCTTCATCTCCTCTCTAATGTTTGCCTCACATAAAAGATATATCATAGCTCATAATAAACTGTAGTCATTTCAAACACTCTTTTTTTTTTGAATTTTGTACTAAAAGAACCAATAAAAACATCAACAAACAAATACTAATAAAACATAGGAATAATATATATATATATATATAGTGAAAATTGAGTTAACATTTGAGATTAAATAGCTTTATGAGATTTTAAGGGATGGGAACAAGGTTAGGTTGGGCCTAGCCCGAAGTCAACATCGGGTTGAGTTGGGGTGGGTTAGGGTTGAAGGAATTTAGTTAGGGTTAGGGTTGGGTAGATTCGGTTGAAGGTTGAGTTGGGGGTTTAAAACGTAGGGTTGGGCTAGGTTTGGCCTTAACCCGACCTAACCCGGCCCAACTTGCAGGCCTACGTGGCCAACATTACATACAAAGTGGTAACAAAGCTCCTTGCTGGGAGGTTGAAAGTACTTTTGTAAAAAATGATATCCCTATATCATAATCCTTTTATGTCTAGAAGACAAATCTTGGATGACATTGTCATTGCCAAAGAAATCATCCACTCTATGCATAAAAACAAATCTAGCAAAGGCAATTTCTTATTAAAAATTGATCTTTCAATTGCATACGATCATGTTGAATGGCCTTTTCTTATCAGGTGTATGCAACTGCTCGGCTTTTCTGAAACTTTTTGTTCCCTTATTCAATTTTGCATTGCTTCGAAGTCCATGAAAGTCATTATCAATGGTAGTTGCAGCAAATCAATCCAGCCGCAAAGAGGGTTGAGACAATGATGCCCTCTTGTCACGAGGGTAGTTCTACAGCGGAAGAAACTCGTGCGGCGTCTAGGCCAAGGTAGGCCAGGACAAGCCTTTGTGCACCTAGAGGCTAGGAGTTGCCCGATGGGATGGCTCCACCAAAGTCAATAGCACTGGATCATGACCTCAAGTCCAATGGCCGAGGCACTCTCCTGGCTCAGACCGGTCCATGGGAGGCGTCGCTTACGTGCTAAAGGGGGACAACCATAATGCAAGGCGACTGTGCGCCGATGAGGTGACTTGGCACCGATGTGAAGGGTCTCCTGTATGCCGATGATGACAGGCACCTGTGTGCCCTGATGATAGGCAACCGCTTGGGCCGGAACACACCCGTGCGCTAGAGGCAACGGGGTAGCTCGCTTAGCTTGGGCAAGGGGCTGGCGTGGTGAAGGGTCATGCTTGAGCCAGGCTCGCATTCCAAGCCTCCCTTGAGTGTCGGTAGCGCAATGCCGGTCCAACACTGTTCCCATGAGCAAGTGTGCGCCCATGAGGAACACTAGTAGCCATGCTAGCCGTTAACCAGGGCCGCCCCGCAAGGGATGAAGGTCTAGGAGTGCCAAGGTTAGGCAACCAAGGAGGTCGACCACCCCACCTCAAAGAGTACGTTAAGCTTTTGGTGGTTTGCCTGAAGATAACATCAATTCTCCCAAAAATCATACGGGCGAAAATGACAGTGATGTCCCTAACGTAAGCCTGCCAAGCATAGGCAAGGCTAAGCCTGTGTCAGACCGTAACAAGCTCCCCCACTCAATTCATTGTCGTCCTCGACAATGACTCCTTCCGTAAATGGGCGTCTGTGTCGCGCGCCATCCACTCTTCTACCAGTTCCAGGGCTCGCCTGGCCAACCTGGGTCTCGCCTATATTGGTGTCCATTTATGGGGATGGAACCATTTCACCATGCCGGCCTGCCTGGACTTCACCTCCCAGTGTTGAGGTTACTCAAACCGCGCAATGGCTATGTCGTTGAACTATGAAAGAAGGGCCCTCGAAGAAATGTGTGTGGTGCTTCGCGGAGGTCCGCCCCATGTATCATCTTACCTCAAGGCTCAACCATCTTCTTGGTAGCTTTTCAGTGATGCTACCGAACACGCTGATAGGTCTACTCCTCATGTTGGCGATGACCTGGGTACCCTTTCACCATGTTGGCCTGCAGACTTCACCTCGCCGATTCGAGTTACTCAAACCTAGCCATGGCTTATGCTCTCTGGGCCCTCGAAACTACGCTTCACCTCGCCGACTCGGGCTACATCTTCACTCCGAGGGGGCCCCACTGCTGCTGCCTCAAGGAGACCTGACCGCTTTGAACGCGAGTGTGGCAACTTTTACCCATGAGCTGTCGACCATGCACTCGCCTGGTGATGAGTTGTTGCTGTTGCAAGTGATCCACCTGTGAACTGTGCATGTCCTCCGAATACCATGCCGATGCAGGGCCGTCATGCTCCAACAGCTAGTGTACCCACATTCCTAACAAGGCTCATGCGTCACCCATGAGCTGTCGAACATGCACTCGCCTGGTGATGAGTTGTTGCTGTTGCAAGTGATCCACCTGTGAACTGAGCATGTCCTCCGAATACCATGCCGATGCAGGGCCGTCATGCTCCAACAGCTAGTGTACCCACATTCCTAACAAGGCTCATGCGTCTGCCCCCGCATGAGGACAACAACCAATGCGTCTGCACCCGCAAGGGAAGTTGTTTTAGGGTCATTGGAATGGGGACACGAACAATGAATGGCCTCTTGCCAGGCCTGATAAGAAATATGCTCGATCCTAGGTGGAAGTGCCTAGGGACCGCACCCCACAATGTGCTACTTGTCGTAATGACCGCTTCAACTGGCTCTAGGCTAATCTGTTGAAAACCAAATGCGGCTGTAATTAGCTAGCTCGCTCTGATACCAACTGTCACGGGGGTAGTTCTACAGCGGAATAAACTCGTGCAGCGTCCAGGCCAAGGTAGGTCAGGACAAGCCTTTATGCGCTTAGAGGCTAGGAGTTGCCCGATGGGATGGCTCCATCAAAGTCAGTAGCACTGGATCATGACCTCAAGTCCAATGGCCGGGGAACT